AAGGTTGCCCACCACTGCCCTAGGCAAATGCCTTGTGTGCCTTGTGGTAAATACGCCCCTGCTTGTTATATTCACTGTGGAACCTATAAGGTTAATCCTCTGCATTGTGTAAAAAGGCTGTTAGATCTTGACTTCTCTAATCCCCCCCTTCTTCTACTGTCCCAAATTTTTTTTATTATTTATTTTAGGTACTTATATAGCACTGTCAATTTACGCAGCACTACACATATATATTGTACATTCACATGAGTCCCTAACCCTAACGGGGTGTACAATCTAAGATCCCTAACTCACATTCATACATACACATTTTTTTTTTTTTTTAAGTCCGCAAACGTGCAACTATAACGAAAAACCCGTAAGTGTTTCACAAAAAAGTGCAAGTGCAAAAACACCACACAAAAAGTGCACTTAGGGGTGTGCTGTGTCCTACCCCTAAAGGGGCTTGGACCGCTTACCCTGATCCCCCGGGGCACGAAGCTCCTGACGGGGACAAGGTTCCCACTTGGTCCTCCTGGCCAAAAGGCCTGGTGGACCACCGTTCCCTATGCCCAGCCGAAGCCGGACATTCAGTACTAGGCAAGGGGACTCTCCCGAAGAAGAGTCCTCTAGGGATCAGGGGAGGAAGGAACCGTATGGCCACACATCCTCCCCCTAGACTTCAGGGTAGGCCCGAGGACCCACACCCTCCATCCGTGAAAAACACACACATAAGGCAAAGAAAAAAGTGACAAACGTGGGAGTGCATAATAAATAAATAAAGTAAAGTAAATAAAATAAAAAAATGGTACCGTGCCGAAATGTGCACAGACCAGGCCCTGAGGCCCGTAGCAAAAATTGCCCTGGACTTAGCCAAAAGACCTGGTCCTTAGGGCGCTGTGCAAAAAGAGGTGAAAAACAGTGGCCATGTGTCATCTTCACACCGTGGGGTCCCACACCCAAGTGTTACTAGTGACACCCCTGAGAGCGTCTTCCCCAGGGGGCACTGAGTTTGCAGACTTTTTACATCCCCAACCCCTGGCCAGACCAAGGTAGATCCGTCCAAATCAGGAGGTACTGGGGTCTTTCCAGTCTTCCCAGAGGAATTACTCCCGGGGCCCCAGCTTAACTCGTGGCGCTCCCCGGTTTCTGTCCCTCCGGTACTAGCCTTCCGGACCCCCATCATACCAGTGAGGGTACTATACAACAACCATCCCCGCAAAGCTAGAATGGTCGGGAGCACCCCCACTGGACACTGATAAGAACAGATACTACACTTGATCTTAGCCAAAAGGCCGAGAAGCGATGCACATACTAGGGACAATTTAGACAGGAGCCAATTTACCTACCAGCTTGTCTTTGGAGTGCGGGAGCTGGAGCACCCAGAGGAAACCCATGCAAACACACGGAAACATGTTAAGTACAGGCAGGTGGTACTGTGGTTGGGATTTAAACCAAGGACCCTAGTGCTGCCAGGCAGAAGTGCTAACCAATTAGCCACTGCACTGCACTCCATATCCTCCTCATAACCGCGGGGGACATCTCCCCGAATCCTGGCCCTCCACTACCTCCCTCACCCGCCCAAAACCCTCCCGCCTCCACGTCCTGCCGCAACCCCCGCAACTTAGTATCTGTCCCCCTGCTCCCTAAAATCTCCCCCCCGTTTTCATGTGCACTCCTGAACGCCCGATCGGTGTGCAACAAGCTTACCGCCATCCACGACCTCTTTGTTTCCCGCTCCCTCAACCTCCTGGCGATTACGGAAACCTGGATCCAGCCCACTGACTCTACCTCCCCTGCTGCACTCTCCTACGGCGATCTCACCTGGACCCACTCACCCAGGCCCAACGGTCGTAAAGGTGGTGGGGTTGGCCTGCTCCTGTCACCGCTGAGCACCTTCCGAGTCCTCCCAAACCCCCCTCTCCCTATCCTTCTCCTCCTTCGAGGCCCACTGCGTCCGACTATTCTCCCCAACCCCCCTGAAGATTGCTGTGATATACCGGCCTCCTGGATCCATACCCCGCTTCCTGGAAGACTTCTCCTCCTGGCTACCCTTCTTCCTCTCCTCTGAGCTACCCACTATCATCCTTGGGGATTTCAACATCCCTGTCAACCTCGACAACCCGGACACAGCCCGTCTCCTCCACTTAACCTCCTCCTTTGCACTTGCACAGTGCATACAATCCACCACCCACTCCGACGGTAATATCCTTGATCTTGTCTTCTCCAACCGCTGCGCTCCCCACAACCTCACTAACACCCCCTTCCCTCTCTCTGACCACAACCTGATTACCTTCTCTATCTCCTCATCCTCCAATGCCTACCCCTCCAAATGTCACACTACTACCAGCCGTAACCTCCGCAACCTTAAACCTGCCTCCCTCCACTCCGCAGTTGATCAACTCCATGACCGCATCCTCCCCCTGTCCTGCCCCGACTTGGCTATGACCGCCTACAACAATGCGCTGTCAACAGCCCTTGACTCACTAGCGCCTTTAACCACACACAACATCAGACCCCGACCGCTCCAGCCCTGGCAGACTGATCACACCAAAACCCTCAAACGACACAGTCGTGCCCTGGAGCGACTATGGCGCAAAACCAAATCCCAACAAGCCTTCACCCGATACAAATCTGCCTTCCACACCTACACCTCCTCCCTCCATACTGCCAAACAAGCCTACTTCCTGACCCTCATCAAGGCCCTCTCCTCCAATCCTCGCCGACTCTTCTCCACCTTCAACTCTCTACTCTCGCCACCCCCACCTCCACCCAGCACCTCACTCACTGCCCTTGAGATTGCCAATCACTTCAAAAACAAGATTGACACAATTCGCAAGGACATTGCCGCAACTCACACGCCTTCTCAACCCGTCCCCTCTCACACAGCTACCCCCTCATCCCCCCTCCCCCTCGACATAACCCACAGGGACTTCGTCGCTGCTCAAACTCCCTCCAACCCCCTTCCCCCTCACTCAGCTACCCCCTCTACACCCCTCTCCCACGGCCCCACCACTGCTCTGACCTCCTCTCCCACCCCACCCTACATTCCTCATACTGAAGCTCCCCCAACACTCCGCACCTTTGACCTTACTACCATCGAAGAAGTCTCCAAGATCCTCTCTGATGCCCGCTTCACCACCTGCCCCCTTGACCCTATCCCCTCACAACTCCTACAACCTCCCTCCCCCTCCATCCTACGCTCCCTCACCCACATCTTCAATCTCTCCCTCTCCTCCGGCACTTTCCCTTCCCCTCTGAAACATGCACACATCACCCCCATACTTAAAAAGCCCTCCCTGGACCCCAATGACCCGAACAACCTCAGACCCATCTCCCTGCTCTCCATTTACATCTAAACTCCTCGAGCGCCTAGTCTACGCCCGCCTATGCTCTCACCTCAACGACAACAACCTCCTCGATCCCCTACAGTCCGGCTTCCGTCCCCTACACTCCACCGAAACTGCCTTACTCAAACTCTCCAACGACCTGCTAACCGCCAAAGCTAATGGCCACTATTCAGTGCTCCTACTCCTTGACCTCTCTGCGGCCTTTGACACAGTCGACCACCCCCTCCTCCTCAAAAAACTACACTCCCTCGGCCTCAGAGATTCTGCTCTCTCCTGGCTCTCATCCTACCTGTCACAACGCTCTTTCAGCGTTACCTATAATGCCACCACCTCCCTCTCACTCCCCCTCTCTGTTGGGGTCCCTCAAGGCTCTGTCCTCGGGCCCCTTCTCTTCTCCATCTACACCTCCTCCCTTGGCCAACTCATACACTCTCACGGCTTCAACTACCACCTCTATGCCGACGACACACAAATCTATCTCTCAACCCCCCACCTCACCCCCTCGGTCTCCGCCCGAATCACACACCTGTTGAGCGACATATCAGACTGGATGTCGCTCCACTTCCTTAAACTGAACCTCTCCAAAACCGAGTTTCTTGTCTTCCCTCCAGCCCGGACACCACCCCCCATTGACTTCTCCATCATGTCCAACAACACCACCATCAAACCTGCCCCGCAGGCCAGAGTACTTGGTGTCATTTTGGACTCCAACCTATCCTTCCAGCCCCAAGTCCACTCTTTAACAAACTCGTGCAGACTCCACCTCCGCAACATCGCCAAAATCCGCACGTTCCTAACTCCAGAAACCACTAAACAGCTCATCCACTCCCTCATCATATCACGACTCGACTACTGCAACTCCCTCATCACTGGCCTGCCTCGCCGCTGGCTATCCCCGCTTCAGTCCATCCTGAATACGGCTGCCAGACTCATTCACCTTTCCAACCGCTCCGTTTCCGCCACCCCCCTCTGCCAATCCCTCCACTGGCTTCCGATTGCGCAACGGATCAAATTCAAAATCCTAACGCTGACGTACAAAGCTGTCCACCATACTGCCCCGAACTACATCACTGACCTAATATCCAAGTACCACCCAGCACGCACACTCCGCTCCTCACAAGACCTCCTTCTCTCTAGTTCCCTGGTCTCCTCCTCCCATGCCCGCCTCCAGGACTTCTCCAGGGTGTCACCCATCCTCTGGAACTCCCTGCCCCAACCCATCAGATTATCACCTACTCTCCTCTCCTTTAGGCGCACCCTGAAAACCCATCTCTTCAGGGAAGCCTACCCCACCCCCTGCTAACCTGCCGACCTCCTCCACTCTTCCTACCACTCCATCCCCCACAGCTATCTCCTCCTGTACCACTATCCCCTCCCTCCTAGATTGTAAGCTTGAAAGAGCAGGGCCCTCGATCCCCTCATGTTTTGCATTGTATTGGTATTGTTCTGTCACATGGTCTGTCCCCCTTTATAATGTACAGCGCTGAGCGAACTATTGGCGCTTTATAAATACTGTATAATAATATAATAATAATAATATTCTGATAGAACAGAGCCATAGGGGCAAACTGCACGTGCTCAGTTTGGTGTATATGTCTGTAGAGTTTTCTTTTCTTTGGGAGGGTGCATGCGATCAGCATAGGGTCAATCAGCACTGTTCCGACAGAGAGTCAAGGGTCCTGCAGCCTCATAGGACAATCAGGGGAGAATGAAAACGCCTTCTACAAGCTTAAACCAGTTCTCTGCTGGACACTAAGTCACAAAACTGCTCTAACTGCTGATAAGGAAATGTATTTAGCAGTTTATATTTACTAAAATAATTGCATTTCCATGTTCTGTGTACTGTGGGAGACCAGATATAGTGAATGCAAGGTCTTGGGTTTAGTAACACTTTAGGCAGCCCTTCATTTTAAAGCATTTCTTGAATTTAACTCCACCAGGTTTCTCTTTTTAAAGACTCTTTGTTTTAATGTGTGTACTTTATAAATGAGAAGCAATACTTAACAATATTTATTAAAATTGTTACAATATACACCTTTCTGTACACAGTGCAATTTCTAAACATTTTCTGGAGCCACCAGAAAGTATAAATGATAAAACAAAGACTTTTCTTAGGTATGTAAATATAGACGGAGATCCTGGACATACTAATCCTGCATGTCTTTCCCTGACTTCCTTAGTTTTATGTAGGAGACAGGAAGCATGTCTGTGGGGTGATCTCTGTCATACATACCTAGGACAGCACTGCCAGAACAGTTTTTGTAACAGATCAGAAATGTGGGACATTTCCTGGGAAGGCATCCTGCTGCAGCTTGAAATTTCAGCTTCATATGTATTCCCTTTCCTTATCTGGAAAGAAAACATACTAATCATTCTTGTGCAAGATTATTGGCATAACTATGCAACTAATGTGTAAAAGTACACTAGTCTATGGGTCTTCCTCTGTTGTACATTTTATTACTTTATTAGGCTCAATCAGGTCCACCAGTCGTTTTTTGAGGTGGACTTGATCAGAAGTTCCCCGTTAGCTGGCTGGGTGGTTGGATATACGTAAATGGACTTCCAACATCGGATTAACTCTAAGCCTTTCCAGGTTCGAAAATAAAGTGGAAAAGGTTTGCACCCTTTCAATATGTTTGACCTTAACGTGACAGATCATGGGTAATCAGATATAAATGGATGCAGGTCCAGCTACATTTGACCACCCATAGTTATAACATGGATCCAGAAAGCTCTGTTTTTTAAATGCAGCAAAAAAACTGAACAGGAACGGATGTCAAAAAAGTGACATCCATTCCGTTCTGCTCCAATTGAACAGGAAATTTGTTCATGGATCCCCTGCTGAATTAACAGACCAGACAGCACCCATGTGAAAGGGGCATTAAAGTATAACTAAAAGCAAACATTTAGGAGCTGGACCTTGGATGACATCACGACGCTTGGAAGGATTAAAGAGTGCGACAATTGTTTAGCGCTGAGAGCAGGGGCGGACTGACAACTCATGGGGCCCCCGGGCAATAGGGGATCATGGGGCCCCTGTGTCCTTGCCCACACTCAAACCACACCCAAAAAAGCCTATGAAAGGTATGAGGGGCATCTCAGGGGGCCCCTTACTGACCCAGGGCCCTCGGGCAGTGCCCGAGTTCCCGAATGGTCAGTCCGCCCCTGGCTGAGAGTGTTATTGCACAGGACCGCCGGTCGGTATCTACACGCTGTAAACTTCTGGTACGATTGAGCACCTATTACAAGTGAGCGCAATTCTATCTGTTTTATATAAAAAAAAAATGTAACTTATAAGGATAAAGCACTATATAACGTTTTATTTTCATGCGACGGAGTGGTGATTGAGGAGGAGATGAACGGAGAGCTGTGGATATTGATCTGGGACTCACAAGATTCATCTTCAATGTCCATTAAAGAGACAAAAGGTGCTATATGACCGAACAGCTGATATAAAGTCATATAGAGAAGATGAGCAGACATCGGGTGGTGGTGTGGTCACTTAATATTGCTAGATCAAGTACAGATGGTGGAATTATTATAAAGGCACAAGACTTTGCTTTGTAAAGGACTTTATGTTGAATATATTGTATTAGTTTGTTTGTAGTATAAGGACTATTATTTAGGAGAGGTTGGTATTCCACATAACAGCACTGCACAATATAGATTTATTGCTGCTGAAAGAGGCCACTCGGGAATACTGTTTCCAACGAAGAGGTGTACTTGGTTGCCATCAATGTTTAGGTAGGTGGTGCATGTCAAAACAACATCCATATGAATGGCAGGAACTAGCAAAATATTGCTCAATGCTCTGCCGGCTTGCCTTCTTCCCATACTGCCTCCTGGTGCCATCTTTTCCCTAGGTAAATTATGTACACAAATCTGGCCATCCACATGATGTAAAAGAAAACACTTAATCGGACCATGCCACCTTTTCCACTGCTCTTTGGTCCAATTTTGATGCTCATATGCCCATTGTAGACACTTTTGACTGGACACAGGTCAACATGGGCACCCTGACCGGTCTGTGGCTTTGCAGCCCATACACAACAAACTCTGATGTTCATTTTTTCTGCTTTCAACCCATCAACTTCAGAGACAACATGCTTACTTGCTGCCTAATAACATGCCATTGTAATGAGATAATCGATGTTACCTGTCAGTGGTCAAGTTATGGCTGATCAGTGTATATGAAGAATATATATATGTCCATGTGATTAGTGGAATCAGTGGAATAGCAGGTGCATTGCTTTGTGGTCCCACAAACAAATGATTAGGAGTAGGATTTTGTTTTGATTGCTGAGAACAGATAAATCAGCTACAGAGTGGTCTAGTCATAGTCATGGTTGTTTAGTCCAGGTGCCAAACATTCTTGACAATAATAAGAGCAATCATAAAGAATTTTCATGTGTAATAAGTACCTATTTGCTGGTCTGATGGCCAGGACATATGTGCTGCTTCTTCCTTTCATGTGCATCACCTGGAAAACTCAATAGGGAAATAGAACAGGATTAGGGTCATGCTACAAAAATAGTTGCTACTAATTGAAAGATGATTAAAGTGTTACTAAACCCACAACAGTAAAATCAGTCTGTATATGCAGTAAAGCATGCTTGTTATTTATACTCACTGTGGAACCTAAAGGGTTAATCATCCATATTCTGTAAAAAGACTGTTTAATCCTGTCTTCTCTGATTCTCCCCTTCTTCCACAGTCCCCAATCCATCTGTTGATAGTACAGAGCTCTAGAAGTTACTCTGCACATGCTCAGTTTGGTGTGTATTGCTAGAGAGGTTTTTTTTTTTTTTTGGGGGGGGGGGGGGGGGTTGCATGTGATCAGCACAGGGCCAATCCGCACTGTCCAGACAGAGGGTAAGGAGTTTTGCAGCCTCATAGGACAGTAAGAGCAGAATGAACACTCCTACAAGCTTTAACCAGTGCTCTGCTGGACACTGATATAAGTCACAAATACTGCTATATGCTGCTGATGAGAAAAAGTATTTAGCAGTTTTTAGGATTTAGCAGTTTATATTTACTAAAATTGTGGCTTTTTTTCAGTGGGAATGTGAGGGGAACACAGTTCTGGCTCCTCCAGCACTGGATGTATGTATTGGCAAGAGGTGCTTGGGTGTGCTGGAGGGTCTATTGATGCTTGCTGCTAGGGGATCTACTGTTGCTGGAGGAAATCTATTTTTGAGTGTGTGGGGGGGGGGGGGATAATGCTTCTGGGGGGTTATTTGTTGCTGGGAGGGATTTACCATTGGGTCTGTTATTGCTGGCTGCTGGAGGGTTTATAGATTTGCTGTTGGTGCCGGAGGGTCTATTGTTGCTGAGGGATCTATTCTTGCTGGCTGCAAGGGATCTATTTTACTGCTTTTCTTGTTATCATTAACAAGTTCCAAATTACTTAGCACAACAATGATACTTGGTTCTGTATTCTGTAAAAGGGGCGGTACTGGGAGGTGGAACCAAGGGAAGGTGCTTGGAGGTAGGTAGGTAGGTAGCGAAGACAAGGGTGACTCAGAAAGGGGGGGGGGGGGGGGTTCCTGCACCTATTCTCTGAGAAAAAAAAGTCCTGACTAAAATAATTGCATTTCCATGTTGTGTGTACTGTGGGAGACCAGATATAGTGAATGCAGGGTCCAGGGTTTAGTAACACCTTAAACTATAATAGTAGATTGCAATAAAATGTCAGCTCTTGTATTTGTTGCACCGTACATTCACATTGTATGAGCAGTTCTAACCTGCTGTAAATATTTGCTGTGACAGTAAAAACATTTCTTACTTGGTGCACGTGGCATTTATTGTATTTTCCTATTGGTATAAGTGTGCCATAGTGGTTTTATATGATGCACCATGGGAAGTGATAAAGGAGAATATTGAAGATGCTCCCTGGCAACCTGCATGATCACAGCAGATGGACAAATGACTTCTGCCCAGATATGAGGATTATGAAGCTGAGAAAAACACTTGGGATTAGTACCCTGTTATTGTGATCTGGCCATTCCAAGATAAACTCTTGTTACCCTGGAACACATGGAACAGCAACAAACTTATTTTCCTCTTCTGGTCAGCAGACTGTGTTTTGATCAATATTCCAAGTAGAATAACAAACATCAAGGCGTATTGTGCAATAGCCATGCTTGTTCTAGTGAAGGCTGTTATATCTGCTTGTCCCTATGGGGCTGTCCCTTTGCTATCCTTTTTTTAGCTATGCAGGTTGCTTTTCACCCTGCAAAACAAAATTTAGCCCGTGTCTTCATAACAAGTAAGAGAGAGCTGCACATGGCTCTATCTTGCCACTAAATCTTGCTGAAGTTTTCAATTAACTCTCAGAGACAGTCCCGTAATGCTGCTGGAGACTGCGTGCAAATGTGTTTATGAGCACTTTGTACTTAGAGCCAGGACGCCAGAGACTTCAATGTTCTGATGTCAGATGATTTCATAGGAATATGTTCCGAACCCTGGCTGCGTTTTTGCCTTGAGCTCTCTTGGCAGTGGTCCCTACAGGATCTTTTTTTAAAATATTGGCCAGCCTCCAAAAGAGAACGGTGTCACTCTGAGAAAGTCAAATGAATTTGTTCCTTACAGGCGTCTCCAAATGCGTGACCTTAACATGTGCAAACATTCTATTAACATCCTTGCATGGGATAGCAAACATAAACTGATCTCACCTTGCGGGGCTGCATAACCTGATAACATAGTGGGTGCAATTTATGGTCTTATAACACAACGTTCTGCCAGAAGCACAAAAATTTCTGTGCAAATACCTTGGCAGGGAAAACTGATATAAACAATGAGGAAACTTTAAGCACTTTTAAAATATCGTTGAGGAAAAAGCATGTGCCACTATTGTCTCACTCTGTATATTTAGTGAAAGAACAGCCTCTAGAATGAAACCGTTCAAGAAGAACTATAATTAAGGAAGAACAGACTGTCCTGAAGCACAGCTAGGGTGGATCCAGGCCTTATTATAAAATAGATTGATATTATCCTTGCTACATAATACGTTTTTCTTAATAGGTTACAGCATAGAGCAATGAGACGCCAACACAAACTGCCAGAGTGCGACAGTTGTACTCAAAATACTGAATATGGTCTTGGTCGGTATGCTTTGTACGTCACTCAGCAGCAAGAGAATGCATCCGAAACAATGCCGAGACTAGTACATGCTATGTTCATGTTTTAATATGGGGAATCATTTATTACAAAGAAGTCCAATTACAGTGGGTATTGTAAATATTAAGGTTCTTTTGACAAGTGGTCCACTTGATTTTATTCTGCTCATTGATGAGCAGGCTTGCAAGTTGAGCAATTAGACTTTCCAACATGTCCACACTTGGGTAACTAGTTTGCATGACAAAATCACTGTAGCTCCTCATTGGAGAAGAGGCAAGCTTACTTAGGCAGGCCATACAATAAGCAATTTTCTTTGCTGGATGGATCAAATTTTGGCTGGTCTCTGCTGAACCAGCCAAGATTCGATCTGTCTATGACCGGCTTTACTTATATTATCTAACACTGTGTGTGGGTAAATCTACAACATAGGCTGGTTCATGTCTAAGAAACTTTGATTGCTCGCTCAGCATCTGAAGAATGCAAACCACTTTTCTGTGCATTAAATGATCCATCTGCCCAAGACAGCTCAGTACTGTCTAACCACAAATGTGAAACTCTTTTGGAGCACAGCACAGTCTCACACCAGAATCCTATATGAAAGAAGATGAATCTCTAAGTAGTCTTGCCTGCACCTATCAACCATGGGGTGATTCACTTAAGCTGGGTACACTATAAGAAAATCAGAAGAACGAGGAACGATTGGTTGAATATCTGTTTGTTAGTATAGTGCTTTCGACAGCTGATTCTGATTTTTAATACCATTGTCTGCTTCAGTGTGATACACACCTTTGTGGGACAACACCGTGGTTAAGTGGTTATCATTTCTACCTGACAGTGCTAGTGTCATTGGTTCAAATCCCAACCACGGCACCTTTTTGGCGTTTGCATGTTCTTCCTGTTCCTGTGTGGGGTTTCCTCCCACACTCCAAAGACAGGCTGGTAGGTGAATTAGCTCCTGTCTAAACTGGCCCTAGTATGTGTACATATGAATGTAAGTTAGGGACCTTAGACTGTACACCCCTTGAGGGTTAGGGACTGATGTGAATGTGTAATATATATGTAAAACACTGCATAAATTGACAGTGCTATATGAGTACCCATAATAAATACAAATTTGATGATCTTTTGTCCAATTTTCTCATAGTGTGTACCCTACTTGGGATTGCTAAACTACAACCTAAATGTTGACCTAAAATGGAACTAAAGTCTGAATTATGGTAAGTGATGGTGGGCACCATCTGCTGCCCACCAACACTGCCCCCCCCCACGATCACAAGGGAATTCCAGCAGTGGCAAAAAGGTTGGCTCTGAGTGAAGAGCAACTTTGGAGGGAAAGGATGGGGCAGAGAGTGGTACCTTGGCATGAAGGATGTGATGGCTGGGGCAGCTGGTTCCTTCTCAACTCCAACCGAGGTGGCTTGCTCCTGCTGGTGACAGATGAATCGGTGTGCAGGGGAAGGAGTGGGGAACCTGCAGAAGAGCTGGCGGGGGAAGCAGGAAGCTTGAATGAGCTTGTTGAGAAAGCTGTTGTCTTATGACAGTAGGGGGTGGCACTACCCCCTGTAAAAATGACTGGTAAATATGCCGCTGATCATGGTGGGTGAGCCTTTGCGCAGCAAATATGCACATTATGACACCCTTACCTACCAAAGTCCCCTTCCAGTGATGCGACAGTCACAATCTGCCTCGTAACTTTGTGTCTGCTGCTAACATTTTTGCTTCATTCTGAGTTGGTGCCATCTCAATTGGCCAACCCATTTTGATGTACTTTCCAAGCATGTGCACAACAGTTAATTCATGACAGCACTCAAGGCATGCCAAAAGTGCACATTCACAGCTCACTATACAATTACAAGTACATTGCTGCTAGGCAGAAAGGGGCTTTTATTGCAGAAGAGACAAAAAAAATATTTTGCAATAATAGCTTACCTGACAGCAAAATTTTAAACATCCTATAGTTCCTCATTAAATAGAAGCCTTATAGAGGTGCTTTATAGCTAAGCCCGGAGTGAAAGAAGGAGGAGCCTAGACGCAGGGCCGACATGACTGGGTTAAAAAGGGTTTGGCATAGTAGGAATTGTTTGTGGATCAAATGAACAGGATTTCATGAGTAGTCACCAGATTGGTGGATAGAGCTGTAGTAGGTGGGGATTTGGGATGAAGGAGGGTTTGGGTAGTCTTTAGTCAGAAGAAAGCTTGGTCGGGACAACTTCCCAGCCTCCCTCCCTTGTTACTTTGCTTGTGTTGGGTTTTATTTTTTTTTTTTTTTTTGATAAGTTACAGGTGCTGTGTCTTTTACGTCATGACAGGTGGCGGGGTGCAAGGTCCCTGGATGTGTTTTTATTATTGGCAAAAAGATAGTTGTAGGGACCCGTCTGGGGTATGGCTCCCATTATTCTGGTTGGTGGAACCTGCTATGGTTAGTTTGTCTCCGAGTCAGTATTTCTGCGGCTGGAGGCCTAATTCTGGTGAACGCAGGTACTTTTGGTAATTGCCCAACAAGGACCTTGGGAACCCCTTTAATACTGTACTGAATGTTCATATGTTGATATGATATTTATATTTGGTTAATAAAAGGCTGCCATTGCCATTAAACTCCAATTGGTGTTATGTGTGGTTATCTAACTGTAGTTGGTGTAGGGGTGGTCAGGCAGCATTGTCAAAGCATCTTTTATACCCATGTCACAATCGCCCACCTCTGACCATCAGTGTTAAGTGAGTGTAAATAAGGGTGCATTATAAGCCACCTGTTACTGAAAAGGGGCCCACTGAAACTTAAGAGGCCCTGTAATTTTTAGTTATGCTCCTGATGCTGACCCTTTTTTTATAGGGCAGAGAGCATCAAAAACAGTGCAGTTCCCATTAGAACATATAAACAATAGCTCTGAACTAATAAATGGTGAAGCCTAATTCATTTCAATAGACATGCCTAATTACTGTTGAGCCATTACCACATTGCTGCGATATTTACTGTATTTAGGAATGTACTATACAGTATTATTACCTTCAATTCTATCAGAGCTC